GTGTTCGAAATATTTTGTTATACCTAAAATATACCTTTGTATTTAAAAAATTTTGTTGTAAGATAATTGAACGAAGAAATAGCATTGCAACGTAAGTTTTAATTTAGTATGATTATTTTCGTGTAGCAATTATGTTATTTTTTCTATTACTCCTATTTTAAAGAATTATAGTACCAAAGTTTAATCATTATTATATGGTTTCAAGTGAAATATATTCTTTCATACATATTTCATTTTTGAAATAACATTTTACTCAGCACTTACATATCGATGATTTACCTTTGCCACGAAATTGTGTAGGAAGCTATACCGCCATTTGCGCAGTTCAACCGTGAAATCCGAATGAATCGTATCAGTATCGCAATCGACGTGTCGCCGCTTCATTCATCGAAATTCAGTGAATTTTGATTAATATTATGCAATAACTGATTGAGTTGTAATAGTTTGGTTTATTTGTACCCGATAAATAATCTGGTGATTATAACAATGCACGGCGCGCATCAACACATTGATATTTAGATTGATAAACTCGATAAAGTGGAATTATTATGGTTCATGGAGGCATTCCTATAATAGCTTGGTGGTAACCAAAGGATTAATAGATATACACCATCCTATGTATATCCTGTATTCTAACAGGAGTTCGGCAGTATTTTATTCAGATAGAGACTAACGAATTAAATTATATTCGACACTATCGAATAAAAAATTGTCCAGATAAAAATTTATCCGAATGAGATTTTATTCGAAGAAGAATTTATTTGAATAAGAATTTGTTCGAATTAGATTTTATTCGAATAATATTTTATTCGTACAGAAATTCATACGAAATTCATACGAAATTCATTCGAATAAAAATCATAGAATATAAAGTGTTTTTCATGGATTATTGATTTATTCTTTCCATAATCCTTTTCGCGGTTAACTTTTTTTAACAATTTTATAATTCTATAAGTAGTTGAAATGGAACTGATCAGAACAAATAATGAATAATCGTTATTCGAGTAAAAATATTCGACTAAAAAGAATACATTTGCATAATTATCTTAGACAAATATTTATTCGAAAGAATTCAAATAATGCCCAGCTCTGATTACAACTTATCTTTAATTAACGAAAATGATGTTTGTAATATTATCTAGAAACGGTCAGGTATTTTTAATGGATAATTTGAATTGACTTGTTTTAATAAGGAAATAGAAGTTATGGTGTCGAATGAAGTTACACAGACAAGGTATGGTTCCTAACAGTCTCGGAACATCCTATGCTGAACGCAAGATCCTAATCCCTCTCTTTATAGCCCCCCTGGGTTTACTGCCCTGACCGTACACATCCAAGTATACCTACTTCAATAAAAGGTGGATTCGTTATTATATATTTTATATCACTGTCGCTTTGGCAGTAAAACACCCTAGATTGCCTCTTAACCCTTGACTAGTACACATGGTACATCAATAACAGCAGAAAGTTGCAATATTGTAAACGTAACACCACGAATATGTGTATATTGCCAACGGTTATTCTCCATCAAAAATTATTTTAAAGCATTTTCTCCATTGAAAGGATACAAAATTACTAATTTGACAAGATACGATTTACTTCGGTATAAAATATAACCATGTTCATACAGTTTAAAATTATCCCTGATCTTTCATTTTCAGTCGAACATTATTAAATCGCGAAGATAATAACAGTAACACAAGTATCATTAAAAACTAGAAAAAAATAAAAATAAAACATAAAATAAATAGAAATAAAAATCACATAAAAATCATAAAATCACACCATAAAACTACAAACACAACCACAGAAATAAGTACGATATAAACCGTCTCGAACAGTAATCTGATAAATGTATAATACCAAGACCACCTAGAAAGTGGTCAACACATAATTATCTTAGCCTCTAATTCGCCAATAGCCACTAATTCCAACGAAATGAGGATATTTCGTCTGCTAATCGAAAGCTCATCGAGTATTAATTAAAAGCAATAATCACCGTCGTCGCGAATATTACGGTCAGTTTTCCGCGAGCGGTAAGGTGCATCGATATTCATAACAGCTGTCCACCTCGCTCACATATCTTTTACGTTACGAGTCCCGAGTAATTAGAGTTGGGCGGACAGCTATTATGAGCAGCAGTGCGTATCGGGCCTGGTCGTCTGAGGAGCCGCCTCTAATTACTCGCGAAGAAAAACGTTCGCGGTTAATTCGCTCGAGTTTATGCCGAACTATCGGCGAAACGGGGATCTAAATATTTCGGCGTAACCATAAAGTCAATTTAAAGCAATTTCTCAGGAGCACGTGGGCACGGAGTCTCCGAAAATCTGGCAGAAACTCGAAATATGAAAATTCGAGAATTCAGACTTATCCGTCAGAAAGTTATAAGTAAGAATATGCTCAAAATAATGATGTTGAAAGAATAAGTTTATATTTATGGAGAAAATATTTGAAATGCTATTTTAAATAATAGGTTCTTCACAATTCAAATAAAATAGTATTTGAAGTAGGACATAAAATTTCAGCAGATGAAATATTTTATTTTGATAATCCATAGTAAAGTATGAAATAATTATTTTATTTTCATAATGTAAAACGTAAAATAAAATAGTTTCTTTTGGTAATCTATAATTAAATCGTGAAAATAGATATTTTATCTGTATAATCTAACACCTAAAATAAAATAGTTTCTATTTTAATAATATAAAACATAAAAACACAAATTAAATTTATTGTCTTTTTAAATACGGCTATTCGCATGTAGCAAAGTGTATTTTTTATGTAAAATTTATAGTGC